CCCTGACACTTATTGTATGGTCTCTTAACGTGCTAGTGACACCCCTGCTTTTCATTGGGGGGATGTTACATCGTCTGCCAATTCTTTTGCTTTCATTCGTGTGCAAGTTCGGTACTAGTCCCTCTAGGATTTTCCAGGTGTATATAACCGTGTATCTCTCCCGCCTGCGTTCCAGGGAATACAGGTTCAGGAACTTCAAATGCTCCCAGTAATTGAGGTGTTTTATCTCCGTTATGCGCGCCGTGAAGGTTCTCTGTACATTTTCTAGGTCAGCAATTTCACCTGCCTTGAAAGGTGCTGTTAGTGTGCAGCAATATTCCAGCCTAGATAGAACAAGTGATCTGAAGAGTGTCATCATGGGCTTGGCATCCCTAGTTTTGAAGGTTCTCATTATCCATCCTGTCATTTTTCTAGCAGCTGCGATTGATACAATGTTATGGTCCTTGAAGGTGAGATCCTCTGACATGATCACTCCCAGGTCTTTGACGTTGGTGTTTCGCTCTATTTTGTGGCCAGAATTTGTTTTGTACTCTGATGAAGATTTAATTTCCTCGTGTTTACCATATCTGAGTAATTGAAATTTCTCATCGTTGAACTGTAGTGGATCCCAAGGCACAAACAGTTTAGATGAGGTAGGGATAGATTAGAGAGTAGTAGAGTGTACATAGTAACATATCTTGGAGAGGATGCCAACTGATATGGATTTTTTTTTTTTTAACAAGTCGGCCATCTCCCACCGAGGCAGGGTGACCCAAAAAAGAAACAAAATCCCCAAAAAGAAAATACTTTCATCATCATTCAACACTTCCACCTCACTCACATACAATCACTGTTTTTGCAGGGGTGCTCAGAACACAACAGCTTAGAAGCATATACCTATAAAGATACACAACATATCCCTCCAGACTTCTAATATCCCAAACCCCTCCTTTAGAGTGCAGGCACTGTACTTCCCATTTTCAGGACTCAAGTCTGGCTATATAAAAATAACCAGTTTCAGATATGGATATTATTATAAAAAAAAAAGTATGCCTTTATTATATAAACTATGCAAATTAATCCTTTGAGGGTTGACAGGCCCTCCCCGAGACTCGTTCTCAGGGTCGGCCAAATTTAAAAAAAAAAAATAATTTTTTTCTTATGAAAAGATAGAGAATCTTTTCCTGATTATAATGACACCAAAAGTATGAAATTTGATGGAAAACTTACGGAATTATGCTCTCGCGAAGTTAGCGGTCTCGGCGATGTTTACGCATCGGCGATTTTGCCCACTTTGAGCCCCATTTTCGGCCAATTCCACTGTACTAGTCAACAAAAAACATGAATATTTCGCTAGAACTCCATTTTTTCTATCGAATGAGTGCAAGAAATCACCCATTTGCCAATTTCAACTATCCAGTACAGTGGTCAGAATTTAGCAATTTTGCCAATTTCACACAAATTTCAAAAGATGCCAATTTCCGAATAGGGTCCAGAATAAACAAGAAAGACATTCCTGGCACTAAAATGACATTTCCTCTATTCATTAGTCACGTCTCAAGGCCCCTCTTACATTCTTTTGCTTTCCACTTTGAATTTTTATTCTCACAAAAAATAGAAGATTTACTGTTATGCAAACTACTGCATTTGTATAAAAAATGGTATAAATAATATTGGCGCACTTGCAAAAAAATATTAGACTCACCAGTTGACATGTATTGGACGCTTGGCATGATTTGTTTACTTTTGAACTTTGGTAAAAATTGAACATTTCTGCTACTTTGAGCTCAATTTCAAGGTACTTTTCTTTGTAAAACCAGTCAAAATCATCTCAATTTCTGTAATATGTCTTCCATTCTATAAAATGAGACCAAGAAAACTAGAATACAACCATAAATACCATACGAAAATACAGTGCAAAGTCGCAGTTTTATTCCAAAAAAACGGTCAATTTTTTTTTTTTCATTATGCACTGTGTGTTGCAGGATTTTTTTTATACTGTGCATACTGACCACATAGACCCATTCTTTCATATGTAGGCCTACCAGCTTTCTCCCACTAGATTTGAGGGCGCTAGAATTTAGGCATACTAGTACGTCAAACACCCTGGTTCGTAAGCCGTACTAGTACGGCCGAAACCCTCAAAGGGTTAAAAGTGTTGCTGAACTTCTTGTATTACCTCACTGAAATCTAGTCTATTTACAATTCAGTCTCTCCTTTTATCATTTCATCACAGAAACAATAGCATTTTCCTAATCTGTTTATTATTAATGCTTCTACACCCCCTTCAAGGGGAAGTCCCTTGGCAAGGCAAAGGGGCTCTTGATTCAAGGAATTGAGCCTCTTGTCTCCTTCCTTGGATTGAATCTAAATACTGTAGGAATTGGATTATCTCACAGGACAGACTGGCTCAATACCAGCATTCAAATGATCTTGCCAATATTTGATAACACAGATGGTAATACAAACATTCTTTCACCCTCCAACTTTAAGAAATGTGCTACCTGGAAATCTATTCCCTCCACTCAGTATGTCTTTCAATCTTGGATAAAAATTGTCTTTTCTTGAGCCAATGACATCTACTGTTTACCTCAATGACCATGGCATTAGCAAAGTACTCATATAACAATGATGGTACCACTATACTCTGATATATTCTCCATTTTGCCTCCACCTTTGTCTCCACAGATGTCTCAGTGCACCATTCACCTTTTCACCCCAATTGTCTTTCATGGACCTGTCGAATGACAAATCCACACCCAAATGAACACATTCACTTTCTCCATGCTCCATTCTTCCAATCTGATATCCTCTTTCATTACCTAAATTTTTTGTTACATCTCATCACCTTGCTCTTCCCTACATTCACAGTGTAGTAATATCAAATGTGTAAGGCAGAATGTTTAACATACATTTTTGTGCTAAATATCATATTCTCAGTAAGAACTAACTACGTGTGAGTTTTATAATGGGATTCAATGGGAAAATATCTCATTAAAAATAACCTTTCCCAAAATCATCTTAACATTCAATGAGGCTCGCCTGTACAGTTTATTAGGCATCCGTTTCGTTAATGTAATATAGTAATAATTAATAATCCTTATTTCTGCAAGTACATGTACAGGGTATAAAAGCCTAGCTGACATCAATGACACATTACTATATACAGTAGACTGTTATATTACATGGACGTTATGTTCCTGAAAATGTCGTGTTAGGTAAATCCATGTTAGATAAACCGAAGAACTTATGGGAAAAATATGCTTACATTCCTGGGAGCCCCCAAAAAAACAAACAACATTTTTTTAGACCTCCAGAATATGTAATTGTAGTTCATTGCGATGTCTTATGTTGTTTTTAGTGCCTAAGACTACAAATGCAACAGAAATAATAATATTTCTTACCTTAAATTGTGGGTGCTGGTGTGTGGATGATTGTGAAGAGAGTGGAGAATTATGCTGTGGCCCTAATGGGCTGAGGTGGATGGTAGAGGTTCTGGTACTGAAGTCGATGGTTGTACTACTACCACCACCTCTTCCTGCCTTTATATAGCCGTCCTGCTCCACTTCTGGTTAGTGTGACTTTGTCAATGGTCCAAGTCGGACCGAAACGTCGTCGTAAGCTTCTCTCTTTTATGTGCGGGTTATTTGTGTATCATTCCAGTCATGGTATTGTGCCTTTTTTTGTTATTTGTGTGCATAAAATTCTGTAATGGATTTCTGGGCTATTTTACCCTGCAGTACATTATACAGCTGATGGTTAGGTATCAGCTACTCTAGATACTGTTTCACAGCACTGCGTCTAGATTTGTCAGGGTCCTCTTCAGTGAAAAAGCCTAACTTTAAATCAGTAAATTAGTCAAGTCAGTCGGTAAATAAGCCAGTCGATTCAGTCAGTCAAGTAAATCAGTCAAATAAGTCAGTCAGTCAAGTCAGTCGGTTTATTTATCAAACCAACTTATATATTTACGTCATTCTTTTTAATTGTACAAACTGACGCTTCATTAAGGCCACAGGCTGTCTCTTATCTAATACATATTTCTATTTTCTTCGCTAATTCTAAGACTTAAACGCTTATACCTTTTCTTGCCACTTTCAGCAGCACTCGTATGCCTACTGGGTGCCATGACTGCTTGGCAGATACAAGATCTGGCAATTAAAAGATCAAAACACAATTCTGTCCTAAGACAGAATGGAATTGGACACGTGAAGGCTGAGATGGGGGTGGCAGGAGTGTCGGGGGTGACAGGGGATGGCAGGAGTGTCGGGGGTGACAGGGGATGGCAGGAGTGTCGGGGGTGACGGGATGGCAGGAGTGTCGGGGGTGACAGGGGATGGCAGGAGTGTCGGGGGTGACAGGGGATGGCAGGAGTGTCGGGGGTGACAGGGGATGGCAGGAGTGTCGGGGGTGACAGGGGATGGCAGGAGTGTCGGGGGTGACAGGGGATGGCAGGAGTGTTGGGGGTGACAGGGGATGGCAGGAGTGTCGGGGGTGACAGGGGATGGCAGGAGTGTCGGGGGTGACAGGGGATGGCGGGAAGTCTACCCTGCTGACCCACAGCCAGGTGGCAGCTTGAGCTGGGAAAATTTTTCAGTGCCCACAAACAGAACCGTGTTAAATTAATTTTACGAAATGTTGTATAAAACTGTGCCACAATTTTTCAATAGCGCAATAACCAAAATGTGGCAAACAAATCTGTGTAACATAACAGTTTACTGTAGAAAGCAGCTTGTTATGCACAGCATTTCAGGAAAATTAGGTTAATTTTGTCCAAGGATGTGACCCACACCAGTCGACTAACACCCAGGTACCCATTTTATACTGATGGGTGAACACGGACAGCAGGTGTCTTATGGAAACACATCCTAATGTTTTCCAGCTGTACTGAGGATTCAAACTCTAGACCTCAGTGTGTGTGCTGAGTGCGCTAGCAATTGAGCTACGAGACACCTGAAAACTCGTGTCATATTCCGAAAATTCTAAATACAGAATTGCAAACTTATCAAAATATCAAGACAAACCTGGTTGGAAATAACCCAAAGTGTAACAATGATCCAGCCTGTGTGCCTCTGTAAGATGAGGAGGATGCCCAGGTACACCAAAACTTCAGCCATCATGTGTGGACATGATACCACTTCAAACATCCCTCCTTGTGGCATAATGTGCTTTTCCGTCACTTTTTTACCTGAGAAAACAAGTCATTTACAGTTTAAGCCAGTTATAGACAGGGCTGTGGAGTCAGAGTTGGAAGTGCCATAAATAAAGGAGTTGGAGTTGAAGGTTTTGTGTGTTGACTCCACAGCCCTAGTTATAAATATATAACAATATAATACTGTTCTTGTAAAAAATATTTATTCACATACCCTTGTATGAATTTAAGGAGGAAAAAGGGGTTGTATAAAAATATTTTTTTTACGAAGCCATAAGAATGAACAATCCAAATTTCAAAATTTAACTGTAAAACTCTTTTGGCAATATTAGTCATCATTAGGTCATTTCTCACTCACCAGGAATGGTAGACATCTGGTTACATCAATTCCTAATCATCCCAGAAGTTCCTTTGAAGCATTATGTACCTCCCACAAACTATTACCCCTGGAGAGCACTATGTACCTCTCACTGACTATTACCCCTTGAAAGCACTATATACCTCCCACAAACCATTACCCCTGGAATGCACTATGTACCTCCCACAAACTATTACCCCTGGAAAGCACTATGTACCTCCCATCAACTATTGCTTCTAGGAAGAACTATGTACCTCCTGCCACCTATTACCCCTAGGAAGAACTATGTACCTCCCACCAACTATAACCCCTGGACAGCACCATGTACCTCCAACTGACTTTTACCCTTGGGAAGTATTACGTACCTCCCACCAACTATTATCCCTAGGAAGCAATATGTACACGTGTTCCTCAATTTACGATAATTCAACTTTACGATGATGCAAAAGCAGTTACTTTGGAGAAGCTTAAGATAATTACTCAGCATTAAGGTGGCAAGTCCATAACTTGTATTCATTTATTTACTTTTCAATACCAGTACAGTGGACCCCTGGATATTGGCCGGTGCGGATACTGGCCAAATCGGATTTTGACCAATTTTGGCTGAAATTCTATCCTGGATTTCAGCCAGCAACTCGGAAATCAGCCGTATTGGAAGCGTCCGCCCACCACACCACGTGCGTGAGTCAGTTTGGCTGTGTCCCGGTGAGTGAGCAACACTCCGCGCATTCATTAAAACATTTCGTTATAATCCATTGTTTTTTGTGGTTGTTCATTGAGTGCAACTGCGAAATAAGCCACCATGGACCCAAGAGCTAACCAATGAAGAGCTGCATGACCTTCATCTACAACAGCAACACACTGCAGCTGAGGAAATTGGTTCAGAGGAGAAAGAGAGAGGGAAGAAGGTGCCTTCTTCAGCGATTAAAGACATTTGTGCAAAGTGGAGGGAGGTGCAGTTTTGTGAAGAAATCACCCTGACCAAGCTGAAACAAGCCATATCTGCAACATGTTCAGTGACAAAACCTTGTCCCACTTCAGGCAAATCTTAAAGAGACGCAAGAAACAAACCTCTCTGGACAGTTTTTTTGTGCGACAGGGGTGCAGTGACTCAAGCTGGTCCTAGTGCCAGTATAAGACAAAGAAGGGAAGTAACCCTGGATAGGGACTTGATACCTGAAGTCCTTATGGAGGGGAATTCCCTTCCAAACAATAATCAGTCTTCCTTCTCTCCCCCTCCCTGTCTTCCACACACCAACAAGAATCTTCAATAATGTGATGTTAAATGTTCACTTATCCATTTCATTAGTCATTTTATTTAGTTCTCATTGTGTATGTAAAACTACAGGTACCATCCGACATACGACTAAGCTTGGTTCCGACCAACCGGTCATAAGTCAAAATGGACGTAAGTCGAACCTTACTACTGAATATCAACATCCCATTTTTGTAATGATTTTATTTTATTGTTTTATATTTGGGTATTTCAGTTTTAACTTTACATTTTATGCTGTTAGTACTGTACTGTATTATACTGTAAGGCTTAGGATAAACACTCTGTACAACACAAACAGTTGTTTATTTCCCAGAAATTTGGCATACAAAACAGTCGTAAGTCGAGTGGTCATATGTCGAGCAGGTCGTAAGTCGGATGGTAGGTGTCTAGTTAATCTTTAAAAAATGTATTTTTTGTTAATAATTTTGGGTGTTTGGAATGAATTAAGTGTATTACATTAATTCTTATGGGAAATATTACTTCGGTTTTCGGCCTTTTCAGATTTAGGCCAACCTTCTAGAACAGATTATGGCCGAAATCCGGGGTTCCACTGTATTTTGTTACAATAATTATTTGTTTTACTTATTCAGTGACAGTAGTTATTTATTTTCTTATTTATTAATCATAAATTAACCCTTAAACTGTCCAAACGTAGATCTATGTTGCATAAAGCTCTGAATATTTTGAAAAAAAAAAAAAAAAAAAAAAATTTTTTTTTAACCCTTTCAGGGTCGAGACGCCCTCACTAAACTTGTTCTCAAGATTGAAAATTTTTAGGAAAAAAAAAATTTTTCTTATGAAAATATAGAGAATCTTTTCCCGATCATAATGACACCAAAAGTATGAAATTGGATGGAAAACTTATGGAATTATGCTCTCGCAAAGTTAACGGTCTCGACAATGTTTACGCATCGGCGATTTCGCCAACTTTAAGCCCTATTTTCGGCCAATTCCAATGTACTAATCAACAAAAATCATAGCTACTTTGCTAGAACTCCATTTTTTCTATCGAATGAGTAAAAAAAACTACCCATTTACCAATTTCAACTATCCAATAAAGTGGTCAGAAATTAGCAATTTTGCGAATTTCACACAAATTTCAAAAGATACCAATTTCCAAATAGGGTCCAGAATAAACAAGACAGACAGTCCTGGCACTAAAATAACATTTCATCTGTTCATTAGTCACATCCTCAGGCCCCTTTTACATTTCTTTTGCTTTCCACTTTGAATTTTTATTCTCACAAAAAATAGTAGATTTACTGTTATGCAGGCAACTGCATTAGTGTAGAAATGGTATAAATAATATCAGCGCACTTGTGAAAGAATATTAGACTCACAAGTTGACATGTATTGGATGCTTGGCATGATTTGTTTACTTTTGAACTTTGGCAAAAATTGAACATTTCTGCTACTTTGAGCTCAATTTCAAGGTGCTTTTCATTGGGAAACCAATCAAAATCATCTCAATTTCTGTAATATGTCTTCCATTCTATAAAATGAGATCAGGAAAACTAGAATACAACCATAAATACCATACGAAAATACAGTGCAAAGTCGCTGTTTTAAACCAAAAACACAAAGGTTTTTTTTTCTCATTACGCACTGTGTGCTTCAGGATTTTTTTATACTGTGCACACTGATCACATAGACCCATTCTTTCATATGTAGGCCTACCAGCTTTCTCTTGCTAGACTTGAAGGCGCTAGAATTTAGCCGTACTAGTACGTCGGAAGCCCTGAAAGGGTTAAATGACGAGTGCATTTTTCTACATATAGGATAAAAAAAATTTAGGGTCAGTACTTTCCAAGATATAAGACCATTAAGTTGGCACTGGATGCTCACCTTACAGTAACATCTACTCCTGCCACTTGAAGAAGTGTTGCCGATATACCCTTCTTTCTCTTTTTTATTTTAATTTATATATTTTTATGTTCTGATAATTACAATTTATAATAGTTCTTGTGATTTCATAGCCAATCTTTGTTCTGACACTAATATTAGGTACTGAAATATTACTCGAATAGTCACAATCACACTGACAGGTGAACATTTTCACTGCCTGGGTTTAAATATTTACTATTGTCTAAAAATGTATACAAAGTTATTTATAGGTCCCAGCAATGTTTTAGACATGCTAGAGTATACCTTGAAGCATGGTATTATGACAAGTGTCAGTAAACTGTTGACAGCCCAGTGATACTTGATGAATGTGCACTCAGGGAACCCTGCTCTATTTGTTTTCACTGTTACACACAAATATGTCTGTCTGTCTGTCTGTCTGTCTGCCTATCTGTCTGTCTGTCTGTCTGTCTATCTGCCTCTGCTTATCTGTCTGTCTAGTTCTGCTTATCTGTCTTTCTGTCTGCCTGTGTGTGCCTGGAGTATATGTGAAACTCCTTGAAGAATGGTGTTTTGACAAGCATGGTAAACTGTTGACAGCCCAGTGACACTTGATAATGGGCACTGCTGCAAGAAACCCTCGCTTTATTTGTTTTCAATGTTATACACAAACATATCTGTTTATCTATCTATCTGTCTGTCTCTGCTTATCTGTCTAGCTCTGCTTATCTGTCTTTCTGTCTGCCTGTGTGTGCCTGTAGTATATGTGAAACTCCTTGAAGAATGGTGTTATGACATGTTGATAAACTGTTGACAGCCCAGTGACACTTGATAATGGGCACTGCTGCAGGGAACCCTCTATTTGTTTTCACTATTACACACAAACATGTCTGTATCTGTCTCTGTCTGTCTGTCTGTCTAGCTCTACTTATCTGTCTGTCTGTCTAGCTCTGCTTATCTGCCTTTCTGTCTGTCTGTGTCTGTCTTTCCGTCTGCTTGTCTCTGTCTCAGGGAGCGGCTGTAAAACTGTTGGTTTATGAGCCGCTCCCTGATTCCTGAGCAAGTAAAAATGCATATTGTGTCATGGTTATTTATGTCTTATATCTACAAGCACAGTATAGCACTTTGCCTGGAATTTTTGGGTTATCCTAGGTAATTTACACTATGTATAATAACTGTACTTATGTGTACATGTGAGAGATATAGACAGAGATATGGACAGACAGAGATACAGACAGAGATATAGACAGAGATATAGACAGAGACATCCAGAGACAGCCAAAGTCAGCCAGCTGGCCTGCCAAATACATAAGAACATAAGAAAGGAGGAACACTGCAGCAGGCCTACTGGCCCATGCAAGGCAGGCCCATGTCATCCCCCAGCTTAGACCAATGACCCACCTAGTCAGGTCACATCCACTGAAGGAAGGAGCATGGCATCAGACCTAGTAGCACAAGCTAGTCAGGTCCAACTCACACCCACCCACATCCACTCATGTATTTACCTAACCTATTTTTACTTTCCTCTTAAAAGGGGGGTGTTAATTCGGCATGACATCA